TCAAGAAACTTCAGCAAAAACAGAGAAGATAACCAAGAAGCTGAAGAAAGTTGATCTTAAGTCCAAGGAGTTTGGACAAAGATTGGAGGTGGTGGAAAAGAATAAAATCTCTGAGAATCATCAACTGTTACTTCTCCAAATGGAAAAAAAATCAGCATATGTCCTGAGATTTCAGAACATTCCGGAGCAGAAAGGAGAGGACCCAAAGGAGATTTTAAGTAAGGAACTGGCCCCTGTGGTAGGCTTAACAGCGGAAGTGTTACAAAGCGACATGGATATATAAATATATATAGAATATATAAAGAAAAATAAGCTTCCCGGGGAAATATTTGTCAAATTCTCAAAAAGGTCAACAAGAGACTTGATTCTGAAAGCAACAAGCGGAAATGTTTTGAAAATCCAAGGAGAACAAGTCAAAACCTTAAAAGACATTCCATTTGAGATCAGAAAAAGAAGAAGACAATACAGACACTTGGCATTGTTTCTGCAAAAGCATAACACCCCTTACAGAAAGATTACACCGGAAGGCATAATTTTCAACTTCAACAGGAAGAAAGAAAAGATTGACTCTGTTCTTAAAGCAAAAAAATGTCTTGAGCAACAACAACAAGTTAAAGATGGACCTGAGAAATTGGAGGATGATAAAGATGCAAAAAAAGAAGACAACGAAAATGAAGGAAGTTCTAAGAACTCCTCGTCGGCTGAATCCTTAGATTCTGAAGCAGAATTAGGGGCTATGGCTCCTAAGCCTCCTAAAAAGAAAAGGGAGTTTGAAAAGAAACGTAAAGGAAGAAAATAAGTATAATAATGTAACTCTCACTGTCTGATACCAATTATTAATAACTTTAAGCTAAGAAGCATACACTTTAGTCAAATCTGTTTTTGAATGCTCGCTTTATTCTCTACAATTTTATTGCAATAACTCTCATGTATTACCATTTTGATATTAGGAAAAATCGATTAATTCAAAATATGTATTAATGATCTCTTGTTACTCGTAGTTTTAGGTTGTTCCCTTCCCCCAACCCCATAGAGGTTTAGTTTAGAAAATGCAATATTTAAAATATATATTAAAAAAAGAAAGGAGAGAAATCTTTCCCCATTGTATTATTCTCAGTTCCCTGCTATTGTCAACCACTTTAGGTGATAAAACATGAACTATCCCTCACAACCGTGTACAAATGTGAATGGTGCATTCAAGGAAAAGAAAACAGTAAATTAGTCAGTCAGATGTGAGTGTGCAGAGGATGAGGCAGGTCAGCTCAATGTACAAAGCCTGCAGGAAGGGATATGTTGTCAGGAAACCTTCAATTTTTGCATACAAGAGAAATCTCATTCTTCGGGCAACAGAGTTCTAGGGAATAAAGAGACCCCACCTTCGATTGAGCTCTGCTACCTGTTTCCTCTTCACAAATGACACGAAAGAAGACTTCTATTTCCTCCTTCCCTATCTACCAAAAAAAGGGTGTGTAGTTTTTTGTTTTGTTTTGGGGTAAAAACAAGCTTATTTACCACACAATGTCCTGTTAAGCCATCCATTCTATATAATTATGCAGTTAGCAATGTACGAGTTTTAGTACAAAAGGCATCATTTTAATAGTAAATGGTTTAGTAATACAGAGTAGGAATGACAAGTCTATCATCTGCTGTCCTTAATGTTTATGTTCAGAGTCCAAATCCTACAATATATAATTGATATTCAACTAAATTGCCAGTAATTTCCATTTTAAACAAATCCAGGTTAAGAATAGAAGAAGAGCCCTGCTGGATCAGACCAATGATTCATCTACTCCAGCATCCTGTCTCACACAGTGGCCAACCAGTTTCTCTGGAGGGCCAACAACAGGGCATAGAGGCCGAGGCCCTGATGTTGCCTCCTGGCACTGGGATTCAGAGGCTGACTCTCTCCAAATGTGGAGGCTCCCTTTAGTCACCATGGCTAGTTGCCACTGATAAACCTACCCTCCATGAATCTGTCTAACCCCCTTTAAAGTCGTCTATGCCTGTGACCATCACTACATCCTCCGGCAGCAAATTTCACATTTTAATCACTCACTGTGTAAAGAAGTATTTCATTTTGTCTATCCTGGATAGATTCTGGTCTCAAATTCAACTGCAGCTTCCAAGGAAATATTATGGCTTATATGCATTTTATTTTTCCATTGATCACTGGCAATGAATTCTAAAGCGCAGTTAATTATCAACAGGTTTAGATTAGACAAGAGGGGGACCCACGATACTCGTGGGGGGGAGAGAAGAGCTCCATCTCCTCCATTCCCCCCCCCCGCTCGATCTCCCCGAGTCGGCGGCGGCGAGGCCGGTCTCCCCCCCCATAAGGGGACCCGCGATACTCGCGGGGGGGGAGAAGAGCTCCGTCTCCCCCATCCCCCCCCCTCGAGCTCCCCCA